GCTTCTGCAGCTCCCGCTCCGCCTCCGCCACCTCCCGTCTCTTGAGGAGCACACGAGTGGAGGGCGGCAGCGTGGCGGGCTCCCGTGTCCTGCCACGGGCTGCCTGCAGCTCGCCGGGGCTGCGGAGAGAAAGCCTGGGCAGAGCATCCGCCACGGGCAGGACTCCACGGCTGCCCCCGGGGCTCCCCGCTGTGTGCAGGGATCGTCAGGAGCCACACAGCCTTACCCTGCCTGCCTTCATGTTCTTGTGCCCACCCCTCCCACGTCAGCCTCCCCCACTCGGAGACCCCCAGGATCGGTGCTGGGCCCCAGGGAAGGAGAAGTCACGCCACAGTCTCAGCTTTCCCGTTAGAACCCGGGGAATGCCCCTGCCTCCCCCAGCCCATGGCTGCAGTGCCCTCTCCTCCCTGGGAGCCTCAGATGGGGAAGGACACTGTTCCCACCCACCGGGGACAGTGACACCCGTCCTGGCAGTGGCACCCGGAGACGGGAACACAAAGGAGATCACGGGGCACACAGGACGTGGTTGCCAACCCTTGGGTCACTTGCCGGGGGAGGGCAGAGGGCTCTCACTCACAGCAGCCGCAGCTTGTCCCGGAAAGCCGCTCGGAACCGCTCCTCCAGCTCCGAGTCCATCTCGGCCGGTGCCTCCTCCCCGCCCAGCGGCCTGCGGAGGAGCTGCGAGCGGGACAGCCGAGCTGCCGGCAGCACAACAGAGTTGCCAGGGGCAGCCAGAGGCTCCCGCAGCTCCCTGGGATTTTCCTGGCTGGGCTCCGAGCGGTGCTGGGCACAGGGGACGCGCCAGGGCTGCTCGCAGGGAGGCTCCCACTCCCAGCCCTCAAGCCATCCATCCCATCCTTCCACCCACACTCCGTTCCCTCCAGCCCTCAGACCCAGCTCCAGCCCCTCAGAACCCTCCGTTCAGGCTCCATGGCCCTTCAGAGACCGCTGTCCCCACCCCTCCCTGTCCCCCTCAGCCTGCTCCAGCTCCCCCTGCTCTGACGCCCCAGGGATGGCTCAGCCCCCCAGACTTCACCCACAGTGCAGATCCTGCTTCTCTCCTTGTGTCCCTTCCACTGCATGGGCCATCAGACCCCCCTGCCACCCCCCGTGTGCTGTCAGGTCCCCTTTGTCCCCCCATATGTGTGACCCCATTACCCTACACCCACACTTGATGAGGAACAGATTGAACTCCTGACTTGGACACACAGCAACAGCGCAGAAGGAATAGGGGAAAAATATTTATAATACAAATAATTCAGCCTCTCCAGAGTGAGTGTCACTCATGTCCTGCCCACACACCCCTTGCTTCTTCCCTTGCCCCAGGACCACTGCAGCCCCATGGTGATTTTCTCCATCCCACAGCTGCTCATGGGGACTGAGCCAGAATCCCACACGGGAACTTGAGTTCATCACAGGCATCAAAGTGAGGGGGGTTCCCATTCTGCCTGTGCTGGGTGTCACCTTGTTTTAGGGACACCAACGACAAGATGGAAAATGGAAGAGGAGAGGAAAATGGAGAAACGTGGCTGGGGAAGGACGGAGTGAAACTGTGGAAGGGGCAGGTGGAGAGAGAGGTGGGAAGGCTCTGCCTGAAGTGTCCTGGGGCAGGACACTGACAGCCTGTGCTCAGCCACACACAGTGAGGGGCCTGCTTGATGCTGGATTCCAGCTGGAGCTCCGTGTGCTTCCTCAAGGAGGAACAGAAGCTATGAGCCTCGTGTCTCTTCTCTCACTTCCTGGGGAGAGACCCCGCCATGGAGCTCGTCATCGTCACCTACACAGGGCACAGAGCAGCAGCATCTCAGCCACAACAGCCATCAAGAATTCCTCCCTCCCTGGCAGCTGCTCTGGGAACACCCACAGCTCAGCAGGGAGCAGGTGGCCCCTCACCTTCCATGAGGTGGTTCAGGTGAGCAGCCGGGGCCCTGCTCCCACCGACCAGCGCCATGGCCTCGTGCTCGGTGCAGCTGCTCAGGGCCTCCTCAGACCCCTTCCCCTCCTCGTCATCTTCAGAGTCCACCAGCACTAGGACATCCCCTGAGCCTGCATTCCTGGGAACAGCAGAGCAAGCTGGATAAAAGGCTGAGGGGAGCCTGTTCCCTGCCCTACAGGGAGACTGAGTAGGGATGCCATAAGGGACTGGGCTGAGGAATGTCAACTCACCTGAATGCAGCACCTGAACAGGAGAGAAAAGAGAGACAGCGTTAGAAACTGCCCCTCTGGGAGTGTCACTGGTTTTACTGGATTGGACAACCCCTGCCAATCCTGCCTCCACCACATCTGTGCCTCCCCTCGACAGTCACTGGCAGTCCCATGCAGAGGCACAGACACGGAGGTGACCTGCCCAGACACAGCACAGGGTTAGGGATAAAGCTCCAGGAAGGAAGAACCAATCCCTACCTCTGAGGCACAGGAGGGGATTGTAGTACAACACAACCCCAGTGATGGTGAGAACAGCCAGGAGGGACAGGACCACCACAGCACCCACGACCCCAACGATGTTCACTGGCTCTGCAGAGAGGGGACACAGATGGATGAGGAATTCTCAGTGCAAGCCAAAGAGCAGGTGTGCTGTGAACCCAGGCCCTCCTGCCACAGCCCCACTCACGCTTCACCGTGAGGCAGACGAAGAGCTCCCTGAGCCCCACGGGGTTCTGGGCCTTGCAGACGTAGCAGCCGCCGTCAGTGCCCTGGGAGCAGTTCTGGATGGTGAGCCGGGACACGTTGCCCTCCTGGGCAATGAGGAACCTCCCCCCAGGCTGGATCTCCACCTCGGGCTGGCTGATGTCCCGGAGCCAGCTGAGCCGAGCTGCCGGGGTGCTCTCGGTCACCCGGCACGTCAGGGTCACATTGTCACCCACAAAGCAGGTCTGGGGGGGCTCAGATTCCAGGGAAGGGAGTTCTGAACAGCCCCAGGGGAAAACAAAAACAGCAGTCAAGGAGGGAATGGAGGCAATTAACATAACGAGCAATCAAGCTTCTGGCTGATTAACAATCATTAACAGAAGGGAGGCAGGCAGGAGTCTGGGAGTTGAGCTCCATGGGTTTGGCATTTGGCTCACTCAGGAGTGTCCCAAGGAGTGACCTGAGCAGCTTTCATGGTGCTCAGTCCCTTCTGACACCTGCCTTCCTATCCCCAGGGAAAAATGGTCTGAGGGCAGCCAGCAGGCAGAGAAGAGCAGCCCAGGCATTATTTGTCTTGGGATCAGCAGAGCTCTTGTGAAGCCTTGACAAGCCTTGGAGGATAAATACAGCCCAGATTTTCATCAGCCACTCAGATCCCCAAGATACCTGAAGGGAACACACAACCCTTAAACCCAACCCTACCAAACCTAATCTGCCCACAGCCCCCAACCCACCTCTCACTTTCACACCGCTGTGTGGAAGCTTTCCACAGGTGAAAACACTGCTGGGGTGAAATTTGTTGGCTCCTGAAGATGGGCCCAAAACACAGCTCACATAAAACTCTGCAGTGATGGGTCTCAGCTGCAGGTCAGCTGTGCCTCGTGTTGCACATGTGCCCTGCCAAGCTACCCCCTGGTTTCCCTGTCCTCCTCAGTGCTCTGGAGAGCAGGGAATGACCAGGGTACCCACCTGCCCCATGTTCACCAGCTTCATTAACAGTTTATGAGGCAGCAAATCTACTCACTTATCTCCACAGTGCAGGCAGGCTGCTCCTGCTTCACCACGTGGCTGCCCACACACTTGAAGACCTTTCGGTGGGAGAGGTGGGAGCTGTTCAGCGTCTCCACGTGGGTGTCCGAGGAGCTGGTGGAGCTGATGACCCAGCTGGAGTTCTCCAAATCCTGCCCCTCTTCTCTCCAGTGCAGGGTGGGGTGGGGGTACCCCCCAGGCCAGCTGCAGAACAGCTGCAGCATCAGCCCCGATGAGGAGGTCTCAGCCCAGCACTTTGGGGTTGCCTGTGGTGGATCTGCCAGCAAGGACAGCACCAGGTCAGAAACACTTGCAGGGCTGGAATTCATTTGTCGTCATTCCCCTTGAAAAATCTTTCCTGTTTCCCTGCAAGTCTTGCTCCCTGACCTGCATCCCACAGGCGTGCACAGCTGTAAGTGACAGCCAGCAGGGACCAAGAGGGGCTGTCACAGTCCCCACAGCCAAGCCTTGAGGGAGGGAAAATATTACTGCCACAGCTTTATCCAATGAAAATGAGATAAACACAGCGGGAGAATGAAATCCCACTGCCCTGGTCCTTATGGCACAGTTCAGGGAGGGACACTGAGTCATCACTTGAGAACAAGGCACAGTCCTGGCACTCTCCCAGCTGCTCCTTCCACACACGTGCTGATTTAACAGCCAGAGGGATTCTGGACTCTGATCCAGGCAGAATTAACAGGCCATGCCCCTGTGTGTGCCTAATGCTGAACAAGACCCCACCAGGAGATCAAACCAAAGCAAGCCCCACACCAGAGGTGTCAGAGGGATGTCTGAGGCTTATTTTAGGGAGCATTTATTCAGGGGACTTTGAAATCACTTGAATTAATTAAAGAAACATCATGGCAAACCCTCATGTGAGCTGCAAGAACACACCTTCCTTCCCAGGGCTTGGCTCTCCAGAAACTGTACACACACCTCAGGTGATCTTTGAAACCACCCAGCTCTGGCAAGAAAGCTCTCTGCAACACTCCCTGTGTCGCACCTCTGGGGAGGATCAAACTGCTCCCAAACCCTGCCTGTGGTTAACAGGGCATCCTGTCAGCCTGAACCAGCAGAAAGTGCCCCACATGGATGGGGCACAGCCCCTCCAGGATGGCCAGACAGAGCTGTGCTTTCTGTGCTGACCTCAGGAACAGTCTCCTGAAGCCATCAGCTTTACATCCTGAACTCCCAGGCTCTCCCAGCACAACTCTGCCTAAATAAATCTGCTCCCACAAAGTTAACAAACCAAAAGCCTAAGAATGGCCCCCCTCCCAACCTCACAAACAACAACAAAAAGGACCTGTTGTGGTTAGGCCCACAGAAGAGCCAAGAGTGCTTGCATCAATCCACACACAGATGTGCCAAGGAACCCCTGGAGGTGTGGAACTGCAGTCTCCTTCACAGGTGCTTCCCATCCAAAGCAAACACAGAATCACAGCCCAAGGCAGGGCTGCACCTTTGTCCTGTCACTAGAATGTTTACTCTACTGCTTGTGGGGTTTTCAAAGTGCAGTTTTGCAAACAAAAAGAGAACTTTTTGCATGGGATGCATTGAAGCCTGTCAGCTGGTTATTCCCACACAAAACCTCTACACATCCTGGGAGGCTCTTCCACAGCAGTGCCAAGTCTGTGTCCAAAATCTGCCCCAGGATTAAATGTTCCACCAACAGGGACTGGTGAAAAAACAGGGCCCTGCTACAGGTCAGAGGTTAAACTTCTAACATTTGCTGATGCTCCTCCGGCTGACCTAAAGCATTTCCAGAAGTCTCTTTCTCACCTATCAAAGGGTAGGCCCACATCACCTTTGTCATATTTGGAAATTAGTTGACACAATTAATTCCAGACTAACAAATGAAGTTCAGAGTGCAGCACCAACACTTGGCACCCTGAGTGTTCTGCCCCAGTGCCCCAGATTTGGAGCTCCCCACTCCTAAGCCCAGTGCCTACATATCTATTCCCTGAAGCAGCCTGGGGTTCAATCCTTCCACACCCCATCTGCACATTCCTTGCTGCAGGAAAAGAATTTTTATTCCTGTAAGCTTTCAAGAGGTTAATCTGTACAAAACAGGTGCAGTGTTTACACACAGGTAGAAGGAAGGAACACCCTGAAGGCAAACAGGTCTCATACATGGGAAGAGCAGCAAGGGAGGAAGGGGCCAAATGAGTACCAAGGGTCAAAATGGAAAAAGCAGTGGATTGTCCCTCTTCTCAGTCCTGAAGGAACCAAGAGTGGCACCAAGCACAGGACCTGTGCTCCCTGCTAATCTGGAGGGGGCTGTTCCCATGGAATACATGAGGCATCAGAGCAAATAATGGTGCAGCAGGAGGGATTGAGCAGTTTCCAGCCCAAACTTCCACCTGTGTACTGAACATTTCTAAGGGAATGAATGGATTAAAGAGGGATGGAGAGAGCACCAGAAGACACAGAAGGGCTAAAAGAAGTGGCCTGTGCTGATAACAGGTGTGCTCTCAGGACACTGCTCCCACATAAAGCTGAGGAATTCCATGCTTCCATCAGTGTAAGACTCCTCAGCTGGTAAGAGTTCTCCCACTAAAAGGATGGCACCGAAGAATAGCACAGCACATCTATCCCATCATCCAAGGGAAAGCAGACAGTGAGCACCAGCCCCTACCCCAAGGTTTATGGAGACTCAAATCAGCCAGATTTTGAGGCAAAGGGTTCCCATGGAATAGCTACAGGGAATGGAAGATGTGCCCAAAAACTTGTTTATCACAAGCAATGAAGAAGAGACACAGCAAGGACTTGAGAGCTGGCAAAAGCTCAGATCTTTTTTTCCTGCAAAAGCCAGATCTGCGACAGACCATTCAGACACACATTGTGGTGCTTGTGAGCAGATGTGAGAGAGATTCCGCACAATAAAGCTGTTTTCACTTTCTAAATATTATTTTTCCACTGAATGAATCTGGGGACGTGGAAGGCCGAGGGGAGGAAGCTCAGCGGTGGGGATGACTTACTGGCCACCACGAGCTGCACCCTGTGCTCGTGGTCCGTCCTGTTCAGCACTTCCCTGCAGGTGTAGTTGCCCTGGTCCTGCTCACGCAGCTCCGTGATGCTGAGGGAGCTGTTGTCCACCAGGGAGAAGCGAACGTCCGGGGGGAAGGAGACCCTCGAGGAGAAGAGAGGTGGGAAGGAATGCGGATCCCCTTGGAACCAGACCACCTCGGTGGCTTCCTTGGATACGTTGCGGCATAAAAGGAGGATGCTTCCTCCCACCTGCCCAAAGACCACTTCATCTGTTCCTGGAAGAGAGAAAGGACGGCGTTAGGGATGTAGGGAATGGGCAAAGCCGCCTCCTGCCAGCAAAGACCTGGATATCTGATCTGTATCAGCCTTCAGAAGTGCTTGTTAGGGGGCTGCTGAGGGATCTCTGAGATGACTAAAAACATCCAGCGCAGACCAGGCTCAGGAAAAGGGACACAGCTCCCTGCTCCCCTCCCCTCAGCCCGCGCTACCTGCGGCCTCCCGGCGCGGCACCAGCCTCCAGACGCAAAGGGCGAGGAAGAGCCGCGCCGGCGGCGTCCCGCCGCGGAGCTGCATGGCTGTGCGCCGCCGCCAGAGCCCCGCGGAGGCGGTACTGCCCG